TTCATGAAATTGCGTGTACAAAGTTGGTGAAAATTTAACAGTGAGAGGAAAGCCATTTGCTGTTACAGCTTTGTAAAATTCCATTACTTGTGTTATTCCCACAGTACTTGCATGCATTCTTTCCACACTGGTATATCCTGAGGCTGCTGCAACTATATGGCCTATAAACTCCTCTGAAGCATGCAGTTTTTTGTTGTGACACATTGGCTGCTTGTTTACCTTTCGGTTTCGGTGGGAAGGCCACCAAAGCGCCCATTAAAAAATCTCCATCTTCAGTACTATGCCTCATTTACGTTCGACGAAATCAGGGAAAATTGTAACTCCACAAACCATTTGCAGTAAACACCCTCATCTTCATTACTGCGCGAGAAAGAAGCAATTTAAGGAGCCCGTCGTACGCTGATGAACTTAGCTTGTACGGAGGAAAGAAGGAATATTGTGAATTCTTTGCAAAATAGTAGCCAACCCAATTTTGAATAGTTTTTGGGGAAACCGTACTACCAGAAGCAGGTATTTACAACATATCTTGCCAATATTCCGGATCATGGGCGAGGGTTGCATTTAGTCCAGCCCATCCACCATTATGTTGCGTCAAATTGGAAATTGTTATCTACGCTTAAAAAAGGTAGCCTTTCAAATCTGTGTCACTTCACGAACATACACCAGCATTTTCGCCAAATTTCGAGCATCAGTCCGGATTGAGACGTCCATAATTAGCGTTTACACGGCATCATAAGATGGCACTCAAAAACGATGGAATACTAAAGCGAAAAGAAACTATTTAACGATAAGACTCAAAGGGAAAGACCTTGCTTAACCTTTGTTGTTATAAATAAGAGCATGTGGAAATAGTAGCTATGACGATACACTGTTATAGTCCGGGTCCCACAGATCCACTGACTTGTACTACTTTACTGCTGTGCAAGTTTTCGGTCTAATTACCTCACGGCAGGCCCGGATAAAAAGTAATGCCCAATTTATAGACTCAGATTCCGACTCATTTCTTTGGAATTAATAAGCCAACTACATTTTATACCGGACATTCGTTTGGACAAAATTGAATGCTGAGTACCGATCCATGTCAAAAGCTTAACTCTCCTGAAAAAGAAAGCCTCTAATTTGGGGGGGGGTCTTTGGGCTCTGACTTTCTAGTATGATCACAAAACGATCAGTTTTTGTGAGATGTAAAACAAAGAACCTGTTGGAACCAAAAATCAACTAAGCAGCAAACTCCATACTCTGTTCATTTGATAGCTATTATCACGTATTTTCACTTGATTTACCATATTCCCGTGTCGTCAATATCTTAATTACCTTCTCTTCTAATAGAATATATGTGCATAATACTTTGTCTATGTGTCTTTATGACGTTCAACAGTCATTTTAAGATTGATCTGGCTTTTGTACTCGTAGGCTGGCCTTCAGGCCATGCTCAGGACCATTCTCTCTGTTCTCTTCGCAATTCATGTATCCAGCCTCATTTACTGCCTTCTTCCGCCCGGGTGGGAAGTCTCGAGCCCCTACATTAAATGGACCCCTTGACAGCGCAACCAATCAATAGAAGGTTGTAAACCTCTATGCCACATTACAATCACTTTAAGCCTCAACACCTGCTAATTAAAAAATGAGCTCGATAGGAGGATTATTAAACTTAAAGCGATTTATCACTAAATAATTACTATTTTTTAACATTTTAAGCTTTTGCTAAATCCATAACAAGTTTTTGATCGTTTTACTGTTTACGTCTAAAGTCAGAACATTTGAGCTCTAGAGGTGGTAGCACTTATCCAATGGGGGATTTAGTAAAGATAATTCGAGAGATCATACCTCCACTGAGTAACGCCCTGCATAAGGGGCAAATGGGTCGTATAGCTGTTGTTGGTGGATCGAAGGAGTAATGAAATTTCAATATTAAAGCCTTTAATTATAGATATACAGGCGCGCCTTACTTCGCTGCAATTACAGCGCTCTCTTGTGTATGCTATCGCACTCAAACGTGGAATCTTGTAGGGAGCTGATTTGGTACATGTGATTTGTGCGGCTTCCGCTGCCCAGGCTATTAAGTGCTACAGTCCTGAACTTATAGTTCACCCGACCCTGTATTTGCAATTCACTACATGATTCTAACCTCCTATTAGAGACATTGATCTTACAGAATCGTTAAAATGGGTGTCCAAGATGCACTCTGCAGTGATCGGTCCTGGTCTTGGTGTGTCTGAAAACATTGCGAACACAATAGAGGTTGTTTGTGTTCATTTTAT